TCTGATAACAAGTGTCATCCCAAATTGTTAACGATCCTTATTAAATTTATGTACATTTTTTATAGACATTTTGTTCAAGTATTTTATCTTTACTCTCAAATATGAATTAATTAGATAACTACAAATTCAGTACTATCGCTCTTTCTATATATAACTCTTTTTCGAATAGTGAAAGGCCGATTTCATTATATCCACCTAATGCACATTAGTTAATATAATAATATTGCATCAGACAACGCTAAATGTTGCGTTATAAAAAGGCATTTTATATTGCTACAGATGAACAATTACTATGAGTGTATGAACTTCATAAATAAAATATTCATTTAACTATTCGCTTTGTATCATCTAACTATGTACATGCACTTACTGAGCAATTAGGGTACATCTAGAAGATGTGGAACATAACTGCTGTCACGATTTTTCAGGTACTTTCGACAGTCTGACAAAAAAATGTATCGAATGAAAGTTAATCAGTCGACTACATATTGAAATATAACAAATTTTAAAAACTATTGTTTTTCTACTAAAAGATAAAGTCACCTTAACTTTTTTAACTGGCACCCTGTATTTTTGACATCATAAGGTTATTGCTGACGAAAAAATGAATTCAACGACCTACTATATTATAACTTTCAGATGACCTTGACTTCAGCATACTGGAGTTAAACAACAAAAGCGTTTATAGCTATTCTATTTCAATTAATTTACAATAAGTGCTCAAAGTGTACTCCATTTTCTTGTAAGCACAAATCCGGTCGGGTAAGTAAATTATGATTAGTTGCAGCCATAATATTACGAACTTCCTCACATGGTGTGCGGATTCGCTGTTTCAAATGTTCAATATTTTGAATTGGTGCACTGTAGGGCATAGACTATTGACTGCAAGTGACCCTGCAAAAAATAATCCTACTAGGCGTACTTAACTTTATAATAAATAAAATAGTTTTTAAAATTTGTTATATTTCAATATGTAATCGACTAAATACTGATTAATTTTCATTCGTAACATTTATTGCCAGACTGTCGAAAGTGCTTGAAAAATCGTGTTGGTAGTTATGTGCCACACCCTGCATATTGTTTTCTATATGAGAACTGATTTAGATATCTGAAATTTTTCTTCTAGAATTCACAGCTGACAGATCACAAAGTCTGTCTTTGATATGAGAATTATAAAGTATTGGCGTAGCGAAGACCAAAAGTTCTCGTAAACTCGTAATCTGCTTCTTTAAATCACATTGAAGACACGTACTTGGAAGTGGAGAACATATAACTTAGCTTGATTCATGAGTAGTAAGAGAATCTTAAGTTTCACCCAATTCTGGGTCTTTTTCTTTCATCTTGCTGGGCCCTGCACTATCAGATATATTCGGAGTGAAACCATTGGGCATTCGGTTGAACTGTTTGTAGCTGCTGACTGGTCTTGGGTTATCTAACTGATCATATTCCGATTCATCATTGTTCTGTTTTATTTCGTCGTAAACATGCTCCACTTTTTTCCCATCCATTTCATCAATACTGTGGTATACGTTGAGATTAGGATTTCCCATGTCTGCGTCCCTATTCTTCAGATCATATCGATCAAGTGATCCTAGAAAGAATCGATAAACATTAGCATCTTACTAAATCATAATCTACTTACGTTGTCGAAAAACATTTCATTCATAATGTTTACCTTTAGAGTCATCATCCTCGTCCATGCAGCTGTTCAAACCGAGCATTTTTTCGTTGTTTATCTTTTTACTCGTCCCAAGGTTATTTCTGAACTGGAAATTGTTCAATAAGCTGGTTGTTCCATCGTCGAATTTCGAAGTACCCTGATATGCGTACACAGGATTGTCGAATTGCGTTTGTTCTGCAGGAAAAACGTGATCGTTCGTCAAATGCTTATCGATATTTTATAAACCATCTCAATTAAAGACGGCTTACCTGGCGGAGATGGAGGATCGGCGATATATTGTACTTGAGCAATTTCATTCTTCAGATCTCTCACTCTACGTCTATGATAGACCCAACCCGCTAACACCATAGCGATAACTACCACTGCAGCAAATAGAAAACCTGCAACTATACTACCATATCCGGCTTCTTTTTGTTGTATGTTACGTGAAAATAATTCCTCATCACAATTTGGACCTGAAAAGCAGTTAATATTTTTAATTTATATTTTAATAAAAGATTGTGTGGATCGCATTGTCGGACATTTAATAATACCTCCATATCCATGTTTGCACGTGCAACCATTGGCTGGGTGGCATGTAAAGTAATCATTCTTGCAGTCGCATGGTTCCATGCAATGATCGCCATAATATCCTTCTGGGCAAACTGAATAAAAACATGAAATATTTAATAGTGAGACCAGTATTTCACTGAAAACCTAACTTATGCTTACCCTCAGTACATTTGGTGCCAGTGTAACCAGGAGCACATCGACAATGACCGTCGTTGGATCTACATTTGCCTCCATGTTGACATGTACAATGTTGAGTGCAGTTTATGCCATAGGTTCCTTCTGCACAGGGTGTTTGACAGAATTCTCCATGCCAACCAGGTCGACACTGACACACACCTAAATAAATAATATTTTGCATACAAAAAAGCCTACAGACAAGTGATTTGGAAAATTTACCTGTAACATGATGGCATTCTCCACCATTTTTACAACGGCAGTGATTGGCACAATTTAAACCATACCGAGTAGGCGGGCAGGGATGCTCACATGTTAAGCCTAAATATCCTGGACGACAAATGTATTCGCCGGTCACATGGTCACAGGTCAGATTACCTGAAAAGTACAACAAAGCATTGTGAGTATTAGATTTTTTGAACACATAAAAACTTCTGTAACTCACTTCGATATTTTTAATGAATAATTTGTTAATGTTTAGTTGCTCTACCAAGAGTACTTTTATGTATATTTGCACATGATTTAGTTGTATAAACATGAATTAGACACAAATAATAAATATTAGGACACTTACCACCATCTTTAAGGTTTATATTACTAATCAATAATTTGTTATCTTCTCTTTGTTGTATTAGTAATCAAGACATTTTTGCGCATGCACCACTAAACACCGAATAGGAACTAATATTTTCTAACTACAGTGCAAAATGTATAATACAGTCTAATGCTCAAAACACCATGTTTCATGCTTGCGATTGTAAAGTGATTTCCATTAGATATATGTATATGTATAGTACCGCAATTATTATTCTTGAATGGAACAGCTAGACCTCAATTTTTCACTTTATCCTAAAATTAATTATTTATACCTTTACCTTGCATTTTCTCTGGACACTTTTCTTTGCAGCGCACACCATACCAGCCTTCTTTGCAGGGTTCAGAACAATTAGGTCCTTCCCAGCCTCTAGCACAAATGCAAGTGCCTGTTTCTGGATCACATGAACTGTTATTCATGCATTCACATTGTGAATGACAGTCTTCACCATAAAGACCTTCTGGACACTTCGTCTCACAGCGGATTCCTGTTTTATATTTTTGGAAAGAAAAACTTAGTCGAAGATCAAATCGCCATCGAGCAACGCTTTCCAGTCTTCTATCAATTGTTCATGTCATATATACAGATTCTCAATGAACTGTGCAGTACAAAGTAGATGGTACAAGTAGACAGGAAAACGCAGTCGTGAAGTTTTTCTATATACTATGTAGACAATATGAGCAATGAAGTAAATGGGATGAAACATGTTAACCAGGAAAAGGAAGAAGGCTGTAGCTTTCATGTATGGCGATTGATCAACGAGACAAAGATATGACAAACCTCGCCAATCTGGCTTGCAGATGCAACGACCTGTAGTAGAGTCACAGTCTAAACTATTGTCATCGTGGCAATCACAGACCTGAGCACATCCGAGCCCAAAGAATCCTTTTTCGCAACGATCCTGGCAAAATCTGCCGGTGAAACCAGCAGCACATGTGCATGTGCCTGTGTGTTCAAAAAAGGTAGTGGGTCTTTGGTGCATGTGCAATAAGGTTGAAGAAAAGAAATAAAGGAAGAAAAATGGGATCCTTGAAAACGTGCACTCATTAACTATATCATAATGTCAAAAACAATTTACCCATTTACTAATCAAAGTTTCTTTTGCCATGACGTTTCTTATAATTTAGAACAAAAGGTTCACGTTCATCAAGAACAAAAATTAATGCTTCCTGGTTAGTGTTTGAAGGCATTAACTTCGAAATGTACAAATAATGAAAGAAAGTAATTGCAGCCAGCCCCCTTACCATTTTGCGGATTGCACGCAGCATTGTTAAAGCAATTGCATTTACCCTCGCAGTCCTTGCCATATGATTTGTTGTCGCAGGGACGATCACAAGATACACCAACCCATCCTAATAAAATGTAAAATAGTACATGCAAGAGCAAAGTTTTCTTGGTTTTAATAGTATGTCTTAATTAGAATCTTCTGTCGGAGACATCGCAATTCTCGTTACTTACCTTGAGTACATTAATTCTTAGTATTTATTTGATAATTTATACATGACTAAACACAACGCGTAGATCTACAAATTTGCAAAGACGAACTATCAAAAACTACTATTAGTTATTCATGCAATTCACGATCGTACAATACAAAAATACTGAATGTTAATGATGTCAAGACAATCAATGGTCAAACGGTACGATCGCAAGATGCTTATTTTGTCAAGTACCTCTTTTATCAGCTTTAGTTATATTAGAATACATAACATGTTACACGTGAGTCTGATGATTACTTTTTTTTAAATTTGAGATCAGTTGAATTTTAATTGCTCATATTGTTGTAAATAAAAAGTTTAACTCATTACCTGCTGTACAGTTGCACCGTCCATTCTCAGGTGAACAAGTAGCGCCGTTCTTGCAGATGCACTTTTGTGCACAATTGTCTCCGTATGTGCCGACAGGACAAACTTCGCTACAATCCTCACCTTTATATCCTGCTGCACAAATGCAGGTTCCATCTATGGGCGAGCACAGTGCGTTATTCTTGCAGTCGCAGCGGATTTGGCAACCTTTACCAAAAGTGTAAAATGGACAAGGTCTGCCGCAGTTGTCGCCATCCCATCCAGCTTTGCAAATGCATTTTCCGGTCCAAGGATGACAGAGTTCTGTCAACTCGGCCGCGCAGTTACATTCCTGAATAATAATTAGTTGTTATCCAGTGAAGATGGCTTAGAAATGTAAAAGAAGAAAGTATAATACTTTAGTACAACCGGGACCCCAATATCCGTCACTGCAAATTCGTTCGTTGCAGTTTTCTCCAGTCCAACCAGGACTGCATGAACAGGAACCGTTGATTGCAGAGCACACTGCGTCATTTTCGCAGGTACAATTCTTAGTACAATGTAAACCGAACGTTCCTTCCGGACAGATCTTCAAACACTGTCAAAGCATAGAAATATTGTTTGAAATAATTTCTTCTGAAATATTTTTTGAAGAGTTAACAGTTGATGACATCTCTAAATCGAGAAGTAGTTACCTTGTCGCCATAATAGCCAGGTTTACATTCACACTCTCCTGTGATGTGATGGCACCCAGCTTTATTATAACAGTCGCAAGGTTCTGAGCAATTCTTACCCCATAATCCCTCTGGACATTTATTCGCACAAACTAAACCCTGTTAGAACAAATGGCATTTCATCTTTTATTTCTAAAGTCATTTCAAAGTCTTGTCAACTCGGTCACTACATTTTAACATCAGCTACAGTGATAGAAAATTAAGAACGCGCCGTACTCTAAGTAACTTTGAAAATAATTCAATTCCAACACAAATACTCAGGTGTGTATTTTGCCGTGACTTATCCGCTATACTTACCGTCCAACCAAGAGTACAATAGCATTCTCCAGTAGTGGGATTGCAGGAACCATCGTTTTGGCATTTACATTCCGACTTGCACTCGTCGCCGTGTTTTCCAGGCGGACACAGATCATCACAACTAAAAAAAAATAGTGACATTACATTTCTGATCTTTAAACCCATAGATTAAGAGACACTCACAGAGGACCGGTGTAACCAGGAGCACAATGACACTCCCCAGAAATATGATGACAACTCCCACCATGTCTACAGCGACACACTTCACTGCAATCTTGTCCATACCGTTCTGGAGGGCACTTTTGATCACAATAGCTACCGGTCCAGCCACGGGTGCATAAACATTTGCCATCGAATGGGTCACAATTAGCTCCATTCTGGCACATGCACTCCCTTTCGCAAGACTTACCCCACTTTCCAGCTGGACATTCTGCAAAATGAAAACGAAAGTTTAAAAATAATATGAACTCCGGGTCCTGTTCACTTTATTATTTCCAAGACACCTTCTAGAATATTGAGCAATGTTATCCAGACTTTTACTTCTGCACAAATACCGGTTCTATCTGCTGAGTGAGTTGCTTTCATTATGCATGCACGCAATACACTAAGAAATAGAGACTAATCAAGAAAAATTGATGAATATTCAAAACTTCGATGATAAATAAATAGAGAAACACTGTACGGTCAGAGAGTAGTGGAATAATTCTGAAGGAATTATGCACTGCACAGAATTATATTAAATGGATATTAATTAATATACTGCTTACTGAAATCGCATAACGGCCCGCCGTATCCAGACTCGCATTTGCAAACGTCCGGAGCGATGCAGGTGCCGTAAACGCAGTCCTTGGAGCAAATTGGAATGCAACGATCGCCGGTGTTGGTCTCCGTGTAGCCTTTGCAACATTCTTTCACCGGCCTTTGCTTCGTTAATTCCTGATCAAATAACATCCAGACGTTCAGGCTCGGGTCTCAACTTTCATTTTACTTCGCATAACGTTCTCAGTCCTTGCTTACCTGTTCTTTGTACAGTGTCTTGAACACGACCTTATATTTGGAGCATCTCGGCGGAAAGCTGAAGCACCAAGTGTTCTCCCGTATCGTGTAAGGTTTCTGCTCTGATATCCTTACCGTCACTGTGTACCTGCCACGTAAACGAGCATTAAAATCTTAGATCTTCATCAATTCTAATCGCAGCACAGCTTTAATCGAAATCTGATCGCGACAGTAATTAAGATATCGATCGCAAGTTGAATCGAAGCTGCAGCCGGGTGAAAGCGAAAGGTCAAGGAGCCGAAAATAAAATGTCAAGTTCACACACACACACACCCGAAACTGTGCAGTGCAGACAGTTGTACTCACGTTTCTATTCTGGTGCAGATGTTCGGCCCTTCGAGTGCCTGTGTTGTGCCCAAAGCTGCGATAGCAGCTATCAACCACAATGACGGAGCCATTCCTCTTTCCTTACCACGCTTGAGACCAGAAGCAATAAATGTCTAGCCGAATCTATATCACATTTCTTCCAGATCTGTCGGCGTCCCTTCAAATCATTTAAGGTCGCACACTTTCTCAGCCACAATTAACTCCGAGCGATCGGCATGCTTCTCAACCTGAAAAATGAATAGTTATCGCTCGGTTACACCGATTAAATACTGCAATCCTTTTCCAGAAATAAAGAAACGTGAGATAAAGACAGTGGAATGCGATATCCTAACCGGTTACATGGAAATGCCTTGTTTCGTATCGCGAACCTCATCATTTCTTCGGCGTAAAATCTTGGAAACTTTAGACTCTGAACCGTATGCTACTACGCGACATTTTCCACATATTTTACCATTTCACATATTCATCAAAAGTAAAAGGGAATGATTGTCGAGACTAACATGTGTACCTTACTTCTTTCAATTCCGGATTACGATTCATTGAGATTCCTATATTTGCGCGATGTGTTTCCAACAACTGGCAAATATCTAGGTAGTCTGTTAGATATCTTTATAATAATTCTGAAATTTTCTGTTAGCTTCCCACAGACATCTTCGTAATGATTCGTCGTAAATTATCAATCTTGAAGGAAGGTTTTGAAGGAATGAATGTTGAAAGTCGCAAAAGGATTGCTCGTTTTCTCATTACAGAACAAGGAAGAATTGGATTAGACTACTCTTGTATTAGTATGACCGTAAAAATGCTCCGATAGGAAAGCATTATTGCGTTGATAAGACTGATATAGCTAGATAAAAATTTCTTTCGCGGTGTTTATTGTTGCTCTCAATTTACGTTTTGCAATAAGTGTTACTCCGGTGAAAGACGAATTTCGTCCCGAACGATCTTCGTTGCACGATGAACGGTCGACCATGTGGCCCCGGTTGCATCGTTGCATGTTGCAAGCGCCATGGGGCCCGGTAAAAATTGCATGCGAGCACCGACGGATGATTACCACTTCCGGATTGTCGTCTTCAATTTAACGAATAGAAAGTTTAACGTCGATCACCCGTGGCTGAAATCTGTTCCACGCCGATGTACCGGAAGAGCGAGGATTCATGCAATTCGGATCGTTTCTAATTTACGATCGTTTCAACGCTTGGCGCTGCTGTAATCAATCTTAGATAATACTCGGCACTATCAATCATTGCTATCGGAGAATGCACGTCGTGCGGCATTTCACCTTGACTTTGTAAACGCGCTCGAGTTAGAAACAAAAATACATTGTTCTTTTGCATGCTAATTTATTGAAATCGCAGTGAGTCAGAGGGAATTTTTTTACAGAGTAATTTGGTTTGAATATTCAAGCTGACGATTGGAATTAACGTGGAAGCTTTCTGCAAATGTTTTGCTGAATTTCGAATGTCTGAGAATCGCACGCTATCGCACGCTTAGCAGATAAATTCATGAATTCTCTGTACCCAGATCCAGGAAGCGCGTGTTCACCGCATTATAAACAATGGCGCAAGTACTCTAAAGATACCGCATCTGGTGTACAGAACATGGCTGGTTGGGTAACAAGAGGATCTCGTTGAGCGACGATTCCAATTCAAATGACAAGAAACCGTGTGGAAAGGTCATGCGTAAATTTAACTAACGATACAATTGACACGCGGGACCGATGAAAAATGAAAAACAGATGTAACTTGAACAAACCGAGGCGAAATGCTAGATAAACGACACTTGACTCATCGCACGACCGCACACACAACCCTTTCATTAGAGACAGAAATATTGGAATCTCGTTAACGTTCTGCGAATTCCTACCGATTCCAACTGTTCACACAAAACTTGCTTTATTTATTCATCGCGACGTTTCCTTGTCGGTGTTCAAACGACACTTTACAGCTTATGCTTTTCCTTCGGTTGCTTCATACTTTCACGTTAAAAATTGTATCAACGACTTGGTCGATCGAATAGGAAAATTTTGCCTAAAACGAAAGGACTAGATGCCCAGTGCTCTGTGTCATTCTCTCGTTCCCGATCACCATAGCGATTGATTTCTTACGGATAGCATGCGGTGGCTGATGCTTATTTCCGTCCATGAGCGCCGCCGCCAGTCAGGGACAAGTATCGTGGCGCAAACATGTGGGTAGTTAGCGTCGACAACTGTTCTCACGCGCAGAGAACCAAGTTATAAACTCCGTCCTGTATCGCATAGCATCAAAGACTTTTTTTTAGGGGGTCTGGAAGATAGATCAGAAAGATGGCGGCGAACGTGGAGCGAATTTCGAGCGTCCAGACGATAATCTCTCTTGATGTGGCAGCCTTGAACACGAATCCGCAAAGATCATGCTCTTCCTTTTCTGTTCTTTATTTACATTAAACCCACGTAAGGTTTAAGTAGAAATCGCCGCGAAACGGATCAGGATTGCCGGATGCGGGATGCGATTTCGAAGAAGTCACGCGAGTAGTGCGTACTTGCATTTTGTAAACTTAACACGTTGACTGCCGTGTCACCCGTAATTCGGGTGACGCTGATTTGACTACTTACAAAGGATTTCCGAAAATATTTCGACAAATATTCTACAGGAGGTAATGAAACTATTGAATTCTTATAAAACTGGTTTATTAAAAAAATTATTCGCAGTGTATAACATTAAAACATTCTCTGCAAAGTTGAGGTTGATCAGGACAGCTTGGACAAGAAGTTGTTTGTTTTTTCAGATATGCTCGTGCCTCTGATCGGTCCATTTCGTATCTTTTATTTGAACTGTAGCTTCCTCGGTATCATCAACATTTCTTTCTTCTTCCATGACCAATTCTCGTAAAATCTCGTCAATAGTATCTTCATAACATTCATTATCACTAAGATTA